CCAAGCACCTAAAAAAAAGAACCATAAGGTGGAAAACCCATTAATCGGATATACAAAAAATGAAATCCAACCCAACCCAATCTGATATTTGCTTGGAAATTGTACCTAAATATACTAAAACTACAGAGAAGTACATTGCAACCCACTGTAGGATTCTAAAATTACAGCCCCACATAGTCTACTAGTAGCCCCCTATAAACCACATCATGCCTGTGGTTTTTGGCATCAATCCACGGTCAGGATTCATCTCACTTGTACGGTGGGGATAAGAATTATGAGGTGGGCTGAACAGTCATTCTCCCCTAAAACTATACCATATGATGGCGTGAACGGAGCCTTTAATGGGTTGCATGACCTAAATTTGTCAATGTGACAACTCTAAGTAACTATTTGCCTACTTGGGACCACGCCTATAGGTTTGAACAAAGAATAAATAATCCATGTCTACTGCGTAGATGTCATTTGATCAAATCAAATAATGATGTTATTAAACACTTTAGGGATTTTTAGACTGCACTCCACCTCAGAATTCTGATTTGAACTGCAGGCCTACAACAATTCAAAATTATAAACAGTTCCACCTATAACATCCATACCCGCTCATGAATTGGCATCAATTCCAAGCTGACACCTAACCCCAAACTGTACGGTAGAGCTAGGATTTTTGGAGTGGACTGAACAGTAAAAACCCCTTAACTTTATTCATGTGCTTCTTTCAGTATTTCATGCTTTATTTATTTTGTAAAATATGGATCCAATGGACCCAATTGGGCCTTTCAAGCTGCAGGATGTTGCAAGAAAATCTGGGTTTAACTTCTAAGATGATGGGCACAACTCTAGCCAAGATGGGACTTGGGTTTTTTAAGTTTTGCGTTGCTTGAATGCAACCCAAATCAACCAATTTGACTAGATAGACCGGTTTTCAAATAATAGTACCTATAATAGTAGCGGTACAGTACTACACTCTAGTATTGGGCCTGGCACAGCCCGCGGATCATCATGCCGGGCCATGGGTGGCACGGCCAATGGGAAATAGGTTAACTCATGATGTATAATTAAAAATAAATTTTTTAAAATAGAATAATACAAAAAAAACATGAAACAATTTTGGGCACATCTATAATATTATATACTAATAATATAAACAAAAAAATATAATAAATAATAATTATTTTATCAATGATGTAAATGAAATGCAAAATTTAAAACCAGTTGTAGGTCAATGATCTAACATTCTGGGTCAAATGGATAAATCTATGATGTCATAACTAAGTAACGAATATGAAATAAATACATACGTACATACATATATATATATATATATATATATACTCAAAGAAAAATATAAGCTTTGTATAAAGCATTTTGATACAATTCTATTGTTATATATTCACCATATTAAACAAATATAAACATGAAAATAAGAATTACTTTTATCGATGACGAAAATGGAATACATGATTTTCCATCCAAGTGGTGGGTTAGTGGTTAAACTATCCATGTCAAATGGATGTTAGTATTAAATAATAAAATACATAAAATTCTAGAAAATGTAGAAATTTGTCTACAATTTTGGGAACATTCTATAATATTATATATTCAATGATTCATCACATAAAAAGTGTGATTAATGAGAATTATTTTCATTAATGATAGAAATGGGATAAAAATTAGGATAAAAAATAAAGAGCATTAATGTCTAACACATGGCCCGACTAACCATGTCTAATGGTTCAATAATTTAATTAACTAGTTCATCATAGGCAAGTGGTTTGGTAGGGATGCAAACAGATCAGATCAAATTTAAATTAAGGTATATTCAAATCTAATATGATCCAAAGATTTGAGCGAATCTCATAAATATTGATTTGAATCCGAACCCGATCAAGATGTTAGATATTTGAATTTGAAACGATCTAATTTAATTTTTTGAAAAAGTTTTTTTCAACTACTTCCATCATATAAAAAGTTTATAAAAATTCAATATAAATAACATATTTATAAATAAATAATAAATAACATATATATTATATATAAATAATATATATACTATATATATAAATAATTGATTTGACCATAATATTAAAAACCAATGTTCAAATAATATATTGGAATTACATTTCCTCTTGGTAAATAAGTAATTTTTATTATCTCATAAATTAAATATAAAAATATAAATATAGAATTTTTTATAAATTGTATAGAAAAATTTGAACATACATTAATATTATATATTCTTCATACTAAACAAAAATATGTTTGAAAATAAGAATTATTGTTAGTAAATATAGAAATGGCTAAAATACAAAGAAAAAAATGAATTAATGTCTTAATCATAGTCCATTTTCTTGATTAAATAGTTAATGTTTCAACCAGTAAGATCATTTGGTTGCTGACTAGCTATTATCATTATCATCATTTGATATTGCCACGTGCAACGCACGTTCTCTTTTACTTGTTATAGAATTATAGATTATAGATTAATTCTATTAATGATTGTATTATGTATTTTTCAAAGCTTTAATTGTCTGTTTGTTGCTATATTTGTCCTTACTCCAGATTTGTTGTAGCCTAACAATGTGGTGCTATTAAATGTGGTAAAAAATAATATATTATCTATATCTATATTTATTTTTATTTATTTGATTAAAATACCCTTATTCTTGAATTTAGTCCTTCATCCAATTAAATACAATTTTAACTAGGGTATGAAAAGATTTAAACCTCCCTTAAGGTTTATCCTACATAATATTAAAGACTTTTCCTATCCTTTTAAAATGAACTAATGCCTCCCATGGTAGACATTTTAGTTGTTGTGTCTAATGGAATACTTACAAGGACAAATATGCCCATACAGGCTTAATGTTGGCTTAGATGGATTTCTATTCAAATTATTAAAAAGAAAACCTCAACTGTTGCTCTTGCTTCTGCAATGAAGGGACGATTCTTTCTCCAATTTTTGCACAAAAAAAAAAAAGAAAACTCAGCTCATGGATACCAATTGTTTTTGGAATAAAAAATGTGCAAATACATTTCCATTCGTTAGCATTTGGAATAGAAAATGTTGATGCAATGCTTTAATTTTTTTAAATACCAAATTTACCTTTAACCAACTTCACTCATACATAAATTTACTAAAATACCTTAAAAAATATTTGCATCCTTTTACTACACCGCAACCTTTTTAGCTTACTAGTAAATGTGCACATGCTTTGCACGTGACAATTCTAGATGATAATAATGATAGTAATATTATATCCAAAATTTTTATAAATTTCATATATTTTTTATAAATTTTATATTTTTATATTTTTATATTATTAGTCTGATGCGGATTGCAAAATCCAAGTTTGATTACATAAACACCTCATCCAAATATGTGATAATTGGATTAAGTTGTGACGTTTCAAGTATCGTTGACAAGCCCGCCTACTTAGGTAGACTCTTCTTTTTCTAGTGTTTTATCTTTTTGGTGTATCCTTTTTTTAATTCATTTATAAAAAAACAACATTTAAATAGAGGAAATTGAATGAGGTGAAAAGTACTTGTTCAATACTTCAATTTACAATTTAAACCTTACAATTAAATAGGGACTAAACACAAAATTGAGTATGTTAGTCAAAAGAAAGTTTCACAATTTTATTAATATTTTTAATAGTAGCATAAATATAGAATTGTATAGATGTGTTCAATTTTTTCTACAATTTTTTGTATTTTTGTGTGTAAAAATAATTCGGATATATCACACTTATTTTTGTTTAATATGATAAATACATAATATTATGCATGTGCCTGAGTGCTTTTTTTAATTTATGTATTTTATCATTTTCGCGTTTTTATATTTTATTAACTTTTATTATTTATTTATGACATTAAAGCTCTCAATGAATAAAAGTTAATAAAATATAAAAATGCAAAAATGATAAAATACATAAATTAAAAAAAGTTGTGTGTAAAACAGCTCAGAGAACCCGGGGACGCTAGTTGCCTAGCTGGCTAGTCGAACTGCAAAGAAAGAAAGCTTAGAGAACCCGGGGTGGCTAACCCAACATGGCCACTTCGATCCTTTAGTACTCAATGAATGTGAGTTGAATGTATGTGAGTAAGATAGCTAGAATGCATAATTGTGTGTACCTAGGTCTCAGGGGCTGATGCCCTTATATAGATGGTCTTCCATGGGTCTCATGAAACACCTCCAAGATTATCGACTCACGCCGCTAGGAGTCTGCTCCGCCCCAAGAGGTAGATAACGTGCTAGCCAATAAGGCTCCTCGTGTTCATCCGATCCGAGCGGGATGAGGATAAGGCCTACGGTCATGCGGCGTGATCCCGAAGGGCTCTGAAACAGCTGGTAGGCTTCTAGAAATCAGCTATGCGTTACCTCGATAGGTATGGTCATCCCGAGCTGCCCGAACTTTGGTTCTAGCTGAGGTGGCTGAGGATGCTGAATCACACGTCTAGTCATCGAGTGGTGTCCATGTGTCCGTTGTTTAATAGGTTGGGCCAAATCACCCCTAATCAGAACCAATGTGTAAATCCTTGAAATCCTCAGCATAGAATTCTTGTTTATAAATTCCTTAGACAAAATTTCATTCTCAAACTTTATATCCTCATCTAGTTCAAGTGCATTATCTGGATCCCTGTCCTCTGATACAAAATCATCATCCCGGTCTCCAACATCTCCATTTGTTTCTTCATTATACTCAATCTCTTTCATCATATTGGAACCATTGGAACTTTCGACCACCCCAAGAATTACAGACGATTCAGTCGAATTTAAAGCATCCACAAGTGGAAAATTATCAGACTTCATAGTTTTAGGAGGAGAATTTCCACTTGGAGAGATGCTTTTTTTCCAAGTTTTATAACCTTGTTATCAGGAGATGACAAAAGAGAATTTCAATATGGAATTATCCATGACTGAAACAATAAGATAATAATAGCTGCAAACCCCATCTCCTGGGCTTGAACCAAACACTCCATAACATTTAGAATAGAACTAATTGCCCAAGGAGCACTGATCCGCTTGGGAGTTCAGACTTCTACTACTATCTCATGCTGGATATTTGACAAGAGAACTAAAAGTCAATCAACAAATACACCTAATAAAACCAAACTCCAGCAATTCAAGCAACGATTTCATCAACCGTTCGGAAAGCAACGAAAACCAGACAAAATGGCAAGGAGAATGGCGGGCTAGGTGTTTTTGAATTATATTTTGTAATCGATTACGATTAATGGGTTCATGCGTCCAATGAATCCACCAGTCCAACCAAAGTCCAACACAGAGGTGAGGTCGGAACCCGACTTAAGTTCGAGTTCGTATGTAATTCAAGAGAAGCAACATGCTCTGTGTTAAGAGTTGTTCATCAAGCTTTTGATAAGGTTAGCTCCAATATGCAAATCAAGCATTATTCGATCCCCAATCTTATTAAATGTTTTAACAACAAACAGACTTTCAATCCGAGTGTATCTTAATGATGCGCTTCAGGTCCATGTGTAGAAGAAGGTATACAATCCCAAACCCATATCCAAATCATTTTGCTCTTTTACTTCACACCCAACCCTGCGACTCAAATCCCACCATCTCTTCTGTAATACAAGAACTAGTCCAAGCTGGTCATTTTCTTAAAGCCCTGGAACTCTATGCCCACCATTTTAATCATGGTTTCCGGCCTGATAACCAGACCTTCCCCTACATCCTCAAAGCTTCGACCCAACTCGGAGACCCAACCTCTGGATTCATTATCCACAACCATGCCATTAAATTGGGTTATGATTCTAATCTCTTTGTGGGTAATAGTTTACTACTTTTCTATGGCCGATTTGGTTGGCTAGAACCCATGCATTACCTGTTTGAAAATATGCCCCAGAGAAATGTTGTCACTTGGACTGCTGTTATATCGGCATTTAATCAAAACCATCAACCGGACCTCGCTGTTGAATTTTTCAATGACATGCTTGTTTCAGGATGTCGACCCAATTCCTTTACCATGGCTACTCTCCTTCCAAGTTTTTCTTGCCGTCAAGGATCATCCCAAATTCACAGCTTCTTGATCAAGTCTGGTTTTGAGTCTGATATCTTTGTTTCGACTGCCATGATTGACGTCTATGCAAAATGTGGGTTTATGTTCTCAGCCCGTCGCGTCTTTGACGAGATACCCGAAAGAAACCTCATTTCATGGAATTCAATGATGCGGGGCCATGCTCAGAATGGAGATGCAAAAAAATCAATGCAGCTATTTGTAGAGATGCGGATATCTGGAGGGCTTGAACCTGATTCATTCTCAGTTGTAACTGCACTTAGATGCTGCGCCAGCTTGGTCTCATTGGGACAAGGGATGGAGATACATGGCTATGTATATAGAAGTGGTTTAGAGAGGATTCTTATTGTTGGTAATGGACTTGTTGATATGTATGGTAAATGTGGAGCTCTAGAGCTTGCAGAGAGGGTCTTTTATCAGATGCAGAAAAAGGATGTAAGCTCATGGACTGCACTCATTATCTGCTATGGGTTGAATGGTCAAGGAGCCAAAGCCATTTCTCTCTTTGAAAAAATGAAGAAGACAAGAGCGGTCAGCCCCAACTCTGTAACATTAATAGCTGTCCTCTCAGCTTGCAGCCATTCCTGCTTAATAGAAGAAGGGTTTGGATATTTCAGAGACATGTCTGTTGACTTTGGTATAGAACCCACAATGATTCACTACCTCTGCATGGTAGATATGCTGGGAAGAGCAGGTTTTTTTCAAGAAGCTTTGAAGTTCATTAGTGAGATGCCTTTCCAAGCAAATGCTCAAATATGGGAAGCATTACTTGGACCTGCAACAATTCAAGGGGACAGAAAGGTAGCAGAGATGGCTGCAAAACGCCTTGTTGAGTTAGAACCTGAAAATCCTGATCTTCATGTACAGCTGGCAAACATCTATGCAAAAGCAGGTCAGTGGGAAGATGTTGCAAAGATCAGAGGAAGGATGAATGCCATGAGGCTTCAGAAGATCACTGGAAAAAGCTTGGTGAAGGTTGTTAAGTAGGAGTAAAGCTCTAAATACATATACCCCCTATTAGTATTAAATATCTAAATTTGGCATTACATATTAGCAGTCTCTACGTCTCAGATGTGTATCGAGTTTCACAAAGAAGACCCTGACAATTGCGTAACCCATAGGTGCAGCCGTGCAGGTATGTTAATAGCACTAGAATCAAGAGTTCAAATTCGACTGGAGCAAGTAAACCAGATGGTTTACAGATCCAGGGGGACAATGTTGTACCAATGATTGAAATAATCTTGATCTTTTTGTTGCATTTTTGTTGCATCAAAGTTTCTTCGATGATGACTGGTTCAATTTCTTTCCATAGCCTCTTTATTTTCTTATGGAGATTCGATTTTAGATTAGGGTAAATTACAAAGACCTTCTAGTATGGGGTCAATGACAACCACCCCCTTTACTTTCATTTGCAATAAAGATCCCCTTGAACTTTCACTTTGCAACAAATATCCCCTCTATTAAGGTTCCTAAATTAACTTTGAAAAATATTCTCATTTGGTTGTTTAAAATTTTCTGAAGTCTCAAACTACCATTTTCTTAAATAGGGATGGCAATTTCTACCCTACCTAGTGGGTACCTACTCGACTGCTCCATGGGGTAGGGTTTTTTGCTTGAAGGACGGATTTTGGGTGGGAACGAATTTTTGTACTCTACAACCTGTATGGGTACAGGTAGGGTTAAGTATTAGACTAAACCCGACCCTCCCTAACCTGCATATTATTGGAAAGTATATAAGTTTTATGTATTAGGTGTTGAATAACTCAAATTTAATAATATTTTGAATTTTATGTGAAGGGTAATTGATAGTTTATGTGTTTTTTAAATGTTTTAATCAAATAATTGAAAATTTTGTTGTTTGGTTGTGTTATTTTACTTATTTATTGCTTATATATAACAAGAAATAATATGAAATTAGATATAGGTTCTAAACCCAACCCACCCCACCCTTGAATGCGAAGAGGATTGGCTTGGGGCAGGGTTTTGCATTTTCATGTGTGGGGAGGGTTTAAATTCTCAAAATCCAACTCATTACAGGTTTTGAGAAGGGTACAAGTTAGGAGATTTAGGGGGCGGGTGGGGTCTAAAATTTACAAAACCCTCCCCGAACTCACCTCATTGCCATCCCTCTATTTGAACGATTTGTGATTTGATCAATTTTCTAAATACAATATTGAAGTCCTCTTGATTACTTTAATAGATCCTAGATGGCAAACTTATTCATGAGTTACAATTAGCTCCAAATAAAATAGTGATAAACTACATATTACTTCTCTAAGATGGTGTAATAAATGCAAAGAAGAATTTTCTTGTAGGAATTTTTTTCTTCTCCGATGATGGCATAACAGAGAGATATTTATTGGTGAGACAGTGGAAGTATTTTCTGACGAGAACTAATGGAGGTGCAACTATGAAGGCATTTTTGGGTTAGGGTTTAAGAGAAAATGGGCAAGGAAAAGAAAAATGAAAGTTTTAAGGACAAGGGTCTATATATTAAAATGCAATGTGCCAAGTTGGCACTTTCCTGCTCTATGGTTTATTCTCAAAGCCACTTATCTCTTTTTTGGTTTCTTCTCAAAGGCACCTATCTTTTTTCTGTTTTTTTTTTATTTTCTAATTTTAAAATTGAACAAAATAACTCAAATGGCCAATCATTTTTAAGAGTTTTAACACCCCTCATTAAAATTCCATTTTCTCTCTCTCTCTCCCCTTTTCCCAATAACTTAATAATCTCCTCTCTCCTTCAATAACTCATGCCACTAATTCTCTCTTATCTCCCTTACTCCATTAAATTGCATAAAATTCATTAGCTTTACCTATATATCAATTTCAATTTAACTATATACATATTATATATATATATAGATATATAGATATAGATATAATAGATATAATAGATATATTTGCATCAAACTATAATTATCTGTAAAAATTAATTCTATTGAAATTGATATATTCATGGATATATTATTGCGCCACATAATCTACTTCCACTTAAAATTATAATCCATTTATATTCCATTTGAAAATAAGTAAAATTAATTAACCATCATAAAAATAATTTAGTAAGTTACTTAAATAAAATAAAAATAATTATTAATTTTTATTATTGACAAAAATATTATTGTTAATAAAAATAATTTAATTAATAAAAGGAATAAAATAAATTAAAAATGAATAACAGTTTAAAATTAATATAAAACTAATACAAAATTATCTAACAATTATTAATTTTATTAATTTTAAAACAACTTAAGTTCCACTAAAAAATAAAAAAAAAAATCTATAGTTAATTAAATTTCATAAGGAATTTAAATTAAAAAAACTTAATATACTTAAATAAATCAAATTTTTACTAATTTCAAAAATTAATAAAAAAATATTAGTTTTAACATAGTTTAATTGTTTTAAAATCAACTTAATTTCATTTAAAAATAAGGAAAACTATATAAACCCCTTGGGTTTTCTAACAATCCTATGAAACTCCCTTGTGTTTTGATTTAACAAAAACCTCCCCTATAGATTATGGGGAGGACTTTGTTAGGTTCGAAACACAAAAGTGGTTTATAGAATTGTTATAAATGAATAAAATTAAAAAAATAATAAAAATTAGCATTAAGATACAAAAAAAATACAAATTTATCTAAAGAATAGGAAATTGGCCACTCTCACTAAAACACAACTTAGATTGTGATCGGATAAACTAGATTTTAACCCCAAAAAGTAATACTTGAATTGAACTTAGATGGACACCATTTATTTGGAAATGCTATAGAACTCCATCTTCAATTTTGCTGATAAACAAAGCCCGTGCGTCGCATGGGTCCTGACTAGTTTGTTAGAAAAATGAAAGTTTAAGGGTCTGTTGCAAATGATAGTTCAAGGATAATTATCACTAACCCATAGTACCCATATTATAAGGGGTCTTTGTAATTTACCATTAAATTAGGATTCATACCTTGAGTCTTCATTAATTAAATTAAATATACAGAGTTTTTCAAAAGGACTTGAAAATACATTGTTTACCCTTCATTTCCTTCTAAATTTTCAAAAAGAACCAGAAAGATTATAAATCTGAATACAAATGAAGGTGACATAGAATACCACTTTTTCCCCCTCTCCAACCATTAGCGAGAATAGTGACAAAGGCTTTAACATGGATCTTGAGATTGATTGATGAGCCCTACCCAGTTCAAGCTGAATTTTGTCTATATAGAATCTGATTATCGATTTTTTACCAAGAGTTGATATTGGCAATACAAATACAAAGCCAGAAGAAGATTTGACATGAAAAGTCTATTTAGAAATAAGGATTGAGAAGCAAATGCATCTTCTAAAGAACTAGATTTAATAATTGAAAGCTTTTTCTCCTATATGAGCCATAATGCTTAAAGAGCACCTACATCGACATAAGAAAAATGGGATTGTTTATGCAAAGAGACTTTCTGACTAGTTCCTCCAATTGATGCCATACAATGCAAGGGATATTCATTGGTTAACAGTTAAGCGTATGTATGCACCATTTGTAACACTTATTTTCTAGGCTAATTGTTGACCATCAATTTTTCAAATAAAACAGTGAAGGCCATCCTTATTATTCAAATAATAGAATAGTTAAACAATAACAAGGTTCATCTATTAAAGGGAAAAATAAGATTTAAATGAATTTACATGTAGGCCTCATTTGTTTTTCAGGAAGTGGGGGTGGATATGTTGGAAGGTCCCATGGAAAAGAAATAAACGTGTATTCATTTTTTAGTATTAGTGGGTCTGATGGAAAAGAATGTTCCCCAAGCAACTCATTTACTTAGGGAAGTAATACTCTCCTAAAACTTAGGTAAATTATTAACCCATGTGCACCAAAAATCCCTAATAATGTCACTTTTTGAATAAATTGATTATTATACATATTTACTTGGGGAATAAAAGAACATTGACAATTGCTCTCATTCAAATAATGGAAGAAAATACTTACCCAAATAAATGCATTTATCCAGGTAAGTCATTTACTACACGCGAAATAGGCCATAGCGTTTCATTGATGGAGGGTATGTTTTATGGGTCCATTTAATTTTTAGGAATAGGTGCCTAGAATCGAAATAGAAATGGCCCATTCCGATTCTTGCTGTTTGTTTGGTAGGAATCCTATTCCAATTGCCATTCTTACGAGAACGGCTTCCCCCATATGGGGGAATGGCCATTCTAGCCCACCACCCAAGGGAATGGGATTCCCATTCCAAAGTATGTCAAGAAGTAAAGAACTCATGAAATAAAGCCCCCCAAACCCTAATATTAATAAAATAATAAAATTATTATTAAATTAATAATAAAAAAATAAAAATAACAAATTATAATATATTAATAATAAAATATTAATAAATTAATAATATCGAACAAAGATATTAATTATTAAATATAATAATAATAATAAAGTATAAATAAAATATTAATACAATACAATTAAAGTAATAATAAAATATTATGAAAGTAAAAATAAGATAATAAAAAAAGTAATAATAAAAGGAAAATATATTATTTATTCAAAAATAATAAATTATTAACAAAATATAACAATATTATTATTAAAGTAATAATAATGTAATGATTTATTAATAAAATGTTAATAAAGTATTAATAAAATAAAAAATAAACTAATAGAAAATTGAAAATTTTCAATTGATTCCGATTGCAATTGCTAATGAACCATAAAACACCAATTAGAGTTCAATTTTGATTCTTGATTGAACCAAATAGACATCAAGAATAGGTGATTCTAATTCCGTTAGGTCTACAACATCTAAGTCATTTTGAGAGACTTAATATATTTAAGGACAAATTTCTTAAATTACCCTCATGGTTTAACTAATCAACTAACTCTTCCCTTCCAGTTTACATATTGTCTTAAAGTACCCTTAAATTTTCTAACAATTGACTAATTACTCCCCTACCATTTGGGTTTTCTTACAATCCACTCACATGCCACATAGATGACTGTTATATTTTGGAAAAAATGGCTTTCTCCAAAATTAGAGAAAAATGGCACTACCGTTCGACTGGTGGTCCAAGCAGAGCAACCAAGGAATGCCAATGGTTGTCAAGATGCAACGCTAGAGAGATATTGCTCATTAGAAGCAGTGGTATTACAAGGAATAAGGGAAAGTATCACCATAATGGGAGGTGAATGGTGGTGGATGGGGTGGAGAACGAGAGCCAGACGACTAGACGGAGAAACTCTTAGGGGTGCAACTATTACTATTGTCATTCACTCATTCTTTCAATCACCC